GGAGTCGGCCCCGGGGACGCAGTTCAAGCGCCGCAGCTGCCAGATGGAGTTCGAGGAGGGCATGGTGGAGCGCGCGCGCGGCGAGGAGCTGGCCGCCCTGGGCAAGCAGGCCAGCTTCTCCGGCAGCGTCGAGGTCATCGAGGTCTCCTGACGCCGGCGCGGCCCTCCGCGGGGACCCAGCGCCCCCAGCCCCGCCTGCCTGGGCTCCCCGAGCCGGGCCCGCTATAAATATATATTATATATGACGCAAAGAAAGGTAAATGGTTTTACTGCGATTTTTATCAAGAAGTAAATATTTCAATTTTTTATTTATTGAAGCTGTTCATTCTGGCAATGAGTCGGCAGCAGCGCGGGCAGCGGGCGGTCCTCGGCGCCGTTTTTGCTGTCTGGTACGTAAACCGAACACGTTTCTAAGCAATACGGGGCCACCTTCAGCCTCAAGCTGGGGTGCCAGGCCTGGGGCCCCCTCCCCCCGGGAAGCACTGCTGAGGGCTGCGAAGAGGCTGCCCAGCTTTCCTGCACTTTTTACATAAGAAAAAGGAGAAAAAGGAAAAAAATCCCTTTGCCGCAAACTGAGCCGCCCCTCCCCTGCGGTGCTCCCCCCTCGCCTCTGCTCCTTTCTGGGCCTCTGTTCCAAGCCATAGGTGGGGGTGTCCCCGGAGCTGGGGTGTGGCTGGCGCCCGGCTGCGAGGCCGGGTTCGGCGGGATGTGGAGCTGAGTAGGGCGTGGCAGAGTCTGGGGCCCAGGCTGCAGCGCACACCCTGAGCGAGGCCCTGGGTGCGGCTACTGGCCCCGCTGGTCAGAGGCAGACGGAGTGAGGCCGCGCTGGGCACCCCCGCGCAGTTTGGAATTCAGGTATATGCCCAGGTCCAGGGGCTTCCGGGAGGGGCGCTGAGCCTCACACCCCTCTGCTCCCGGAGCACAGGGACTTTAGCCCCGGGGGCCACTGGCGGGCAGATGGAGACCCTGACGTGAGCAGACGCCGGAGGTGCTCTTCTCCCCACCCCAAGGGGTCTGCTAGGAGAGCACCCCCACACCCCTTCCCCAGGGAGTCCCTCCTCCAAATCTCCCTGTATCCTTAAAGGATAGTCCCCACTCCGGGTGGCTTTCTGGCCCAGGTGGGCATGGGGGCAGGACGGCCTCAGCTGCCCCCACTGCCACCACCCAGCCTCTGCAGGTGGGGCGGGCGGGGCCGACTGGCCGCCCGAGGCTCTCCCCTGGGCGAGCCTGGGCTTGGCGGCGTTGCCCAGGACTGAGCTGCGGGGCAGCGGGGCCTGGGGGCTGCCCAGCTTGGGTCTGGTTCTGCTGTTTCTTCCCACCACAATCTTCTGTCCCTGTCGACCCCGTTAAGCAGAGTCCTGCTCTGCCCTCTGTCCTCACCCCCTTCCCAAGAACATAAGCTATCATTGTTGTATTTGCAATCTATGGATTAGAGGTTTAAGTATTTATTATCGGTTAATTATTATTATTATTATTATTATTATTGATTATGTAAATCTGCCTCCTGTCTGTCTATCCCGTGGGTACCTGAGGTGGCCCTGGCATGGAGGGTGCACGGGCCCTGCCTCGCGCCCGCCTCGTGCTGTCCAGGAGACTGAGGGGGCCGCTGGCTGGGCCCCAGAACTCTGCAGGCAGCTTGCAGCCCTGCCCCTCAGGGCTGCCCCACCTCTCGCGTCCTGGAGGGGGGTGCCCGTGCGAGGAGGGTCAGAGGCCCTGGCTTGGCCTGTCCGTGCTGGGCCCAGGACCCCTTGCGCCCGCTGTCCCCTCCTGCCGGCGGTGCACCGGCATCGTCCCCCCAGAATGGACCCAGCCCCTCCTACTGTTTGCTGGGAAGTCCAGTGGAGGAGGTGGGCAGGGCCCCGCATGGCGCGGTGTGTCTGGACGCCCGGCCTGGGCCCCTCGCACGGCCCTGCACCCCACCCCGTCCTGCCTTTCTTTTGTATTTGGAAGCGACGTGTTGTAATAAACCTGCTGGTGTTTTCTCCTGGCCTCTGGATGCCTCTTTCTTCAGGCTGGTCGGGGAGGGGCGGCCTGGGGCTGCCGGGCTGGCTGTGGGCCCTCTGACCGCTGGGCGGGGGGGCGGGGGCACCCCGTCCCCCTCGCCAGAGGCAGCACAGGTGTGACACCCCCTGCTGTCAAGGACAGCGAATCACAGCCTCGACCTTGGGCCCGGGGCTGCTCAGCCAGCGGGGGGCCGGGGGGCCGCGGGGGGCCAGCGGGGGGCCAGCACAGTGCACAGTGCGGCTCTGCAGCAGAGCTGGGCTGGCTGCTGCCCTCCGCGCCTGCCTTTCTCGGGGTCCCCTGGCCCACGCTGCGCACCCGGCAGGCCGTGGGCTAAAGGCACAGCACCGGGCAGGGCGGGCGCCCCCAGGAGAGGGCCTCTCTGGGCGAGCTCTGGGCAGCTGGTAGTTTCCTGGGGGTCACAGTGGCAAGGGCTCCGGTGCAGGTGTCCCTTGGTGCTTGCCTGACTGGGCAGCTGCACCAGGCAGGCCCTGACCCTCCCCCGACACCCCCAGTGTGAGGCCCTGACCCCTCCTCCCCACAACCCC